CGCGTGCCGCGATCTGTCCCTCTATAAATACCGACTTGCCGCTAATAAAGATGCGAAACACCGTAACACGCGACCACTATGGCCCCTGCCGCTCCCATAAACCAACCGAACCCATCAATTACACCTTTCGCATCCTCGTATCGTCGCTTCGTGCCGCTCTCGATCGCTCGGGGCGGGCGGAAACCATCTCTGTCTGCGGGAACTCGTTGCGTCTCGCATGCGCCAACATATACAAAGCGACAAAAGGTGCGCATCCCCGAAGATGAAAAGGCGGCAAAACCGGAGGATCGTCCCCGTTGAATGGTTTCGTCGCGTTTTGGAAACGTGGATGTCGAAACTTTCGAATCGAAAGTGCTTCCATCCGTTTATCGCGTTTCTTCCTCCTCTTGTGGGAGTGGAGGATCTGTTGCATCTTTGATGATGATCCATACAAAGGAAGTGAATTTTGATAAATATTTTGATAAATATAAATTATTTGACGAAAGATTGTTCATTTGATATTTATTTAGATTCGGGGGGATAAAAGAATATATTTTGAAAGTCGCTAAATATTTTTTAAAAGTACATTTCACCTGTCCTCTTTGCAAGCGCATAATTTTGCATAATGCACGACCCTGAATATTTAAAGCGAACGTGGATACTTGTGCGACCAACTTGTACCACTCCACGAACTACTTCCCCTGTTTACCGAAGGTAGTGCTACTCGTTAAATAAATATTATCGCTGTTATCGCGATGTAACAATAACGCAAAGTACAATTTCACCGGAGAAATTCCATTTTTCCGCGTAAATAGTTGATTCTCGACAACGCCCTTGAACGTCAACGCTCTTCAAACCCCCCCTTCCCTCCTCCCCTGCATCCGGGAGAATGCGCTTTTCTCAAAAGCAACGGTTTCCGCTGCTGCTCTTCTCTCCGCCGTCGTACACCTATAAACGAGATATTCCCGTAATCCCAGTCTTTATGTATTATTTAATTTTCCCCCTCGTTCCATTCGTTCCTCTCGCTTTCGATTTACGTCCGACTCACCCCTTGCCTTGCGTTACCGCATATTTACGTTTCAAATAATCCTTTATATCCTCTTCCACTCTCTCTCTCTCTCTATCTCTCTTCCCAGATGGGAATAAAGACTTTATTCTATTCAGCTTGTATATATATCGCGCTTGAACGCGTGCTACACGAATAAACAAAAAAAAGTATTCGAACGATTCTTTATAGAAAAATTGTGTGAACAATAGAAATACGTTGTAGAGTTTCGAAAAGAAAGCATAAATGTTGTATACATTCATTTGATTTAAATTAATTTCTTAGAAAGATCAATCTGCAATTCGATATTTAATATTTTTTCTAATATTAATAACAATTACGAAATTACAAACTTCCCTGACTGCATATATTGCAGATATTGGATAGATTGTAACCAAAGAAACAGGCGGTTTTAATTATAACATTCCCTTCCCAACATGAATATTTTTATTTGTTCAACGTTTCGAGTATTGAATGCTACCCGAATACTTTCGCGTATGTACACATATATGTACAGATTTAGGTAGATTATCGGGCGGGCGAACCGGTTACGAAAGGCATGTAGCCCGTGTACGAAGGGTCGAACTCGATCGGAATTGCTAATTAGGCGCGTGTAAAATTACTGTAAATCGGCGAGCCGACTATTACACGTAAACAGCCTATCCTGCGCGAGAATATTTCACCGTGGGGTGGGCAGAGAGGTTGCCTCGTTCGCGTTTATCCCTTGCGAACGAGATTTAAACGAGAGAGAAAGAGAGAGAAAAGAGAGAGAAAAGAGAGAGGGAGGGAGAGACTACTCGCAAACGATTTTCCACTTCGTGGACGAACGTTGGCGATTTCGTGGTACGAACGTCGAGGTTGTTTCGAATCTTTTGCGGAGGAGAAGAGGTGAGCGAGAAGCGTTGTTCGTTAAATGCCGCGTTGCTATGTAAGATGCGAGCCAAACCTGGAAAGGAAGTTCCGTGTTCCTCGAGAAGATTAACTCCTTGCCGTGGTTCTTGTATAACTACGTACGTAAGGGGCGAGGGATGTTCGTTTCTTTTTTTCCTCCCTATTTTTAACTCGAAAGAATATCCCACGTTGGCTCGATTCGTTTCCATTCTATTTTTGTAAAGCCATCGTAAATTTTTATTTCTTCCGATCGTTGTCTCTCTTATTGAAATAGATAGATTCGTTTCGTTTGATTAAAAAGTATGGTACCTGGGATTTTACGAATATATGTATATATCTTTTCATATTGCACGTATTTTGAATTATATTTTCACGAGACGAAGATATTTCCAATGGATGGATGAAAGATCCATTTAAAAGCGGGGAATTTTACCCTTTGAAACGCTTTTCGATTTATCTCGATACGACTTTTGGTTCCCGAGATATCGTCGTGTAAAGAAAAGGGAATTTTTAATCGTTGAACTTACGTACCATTGAAATTGGGAAAAATTTGAACCGCTGTAATTCCGAAGATAATAACGTTCGGCGAACGGATGAACGATGATTAGAAGCGCAAAATCTTGCTCTTTAAAACGCTCTTTTATTCATCTCGATACGACTTCCGGTTCCCGAGATATCGACGAATAAAGAAAAGACAAATTTTGATCGTTTATCTTAAACCTTATTAAACCGAATTAAAATTAAGAAAAATTTGAACCGCTATAACTCCGAAGATAATGACTTCCGGTCAATGGGTGAACGATGATTAGAAGCGCGGAACCTTGCTCTTTAAAATGCTTTTTGGTTCATCTCGATACGACTTCCGGTTCCCGAGATATCGTCGTGTAAAGAGAAGAGTAATTTTTAATCGTTTATTATCTTCCTCCTTGTCGCTTACTCGGACCTCTCGCTCGCACCTCGCCTCACTGACCTATCTTAATCTCCAGACGAGTGCGCGGTTCCTGCAAAAAACAGTGGTACGCGTTTCCAGGAAAAAATGTAGGTCAGTGGGTCGCGGACCCATTCATAATTTCTGGCGTTACGTTAAACTTTGAATTCTTATATCTCGGTAACGGATCGAGATATCGGGATAAAACAAAAAGGAATTTCAATGGTATCGCTTCCTTTATCTTTTGAGTAGATTTTGATGACAAAAATTTTTATATAAAAATTCGAAATTTTACTCATGATTTTCCGTCAATATTCACATAAAACGTTCGTTTTAAAACAAGTTGTCGCTATTAATATCTCTTGTATCTCAAAATAAAACTAATTATGCGTCAATTTGGAATTACCAGAAAGAGATGAATCGATTTTCAAATTTTTTCTCGCGCTTCCACAAATCAATTTATCTCCGAACAATATTTAATACGCATAACGATAAAATATATATATATATATATATATCGTCGACATTCTATCTCTTCTTCCATTCTTCAATCCATCCATTACGATCCACGTGAATTTTCAATCGAATCATCACACCTCCTCTCCTAATTACCGAATACCTCGAACACGATAGAAAACAGAGGCTGAATATTCGTAATTTCAGATTCACGAAGGCGTATGAATTAGCTGGAAGAGGCGGTTTAATCGTGATTCCGCGTCCTTGATATCGGGAAACGCAGGCGCAATCGTTTCCACGCGCCTCCTCTTGAAATTACTATAGCTCGTTCCGTTCCTCCAGGGGCTACAAATCGTTCGAGAGTATCTAGATCTCCCGCAGTCCTTGCTCCACTTTCCCTCTGCCCGTCCCTTCCCTCCCTCCTCTCTCCCTCGCTCCTCCACGCCTTTCAATTGCCGTAATTTTCGTTATAAATTTATCCCGTTGTAAAAACGTTTTATTACGCAATCCGGCCGATTTAGTGGCGGCGCCGATTTCGGGGTAACGCGAGTAAATCTTCCGCTCGATGGATCCTTTGGTAGGGAAAATATGCGCCTCGTTCTTGAAATCACCGATGGCTATGCGAGGCTCTTTTAGATTTATTGGCGAGATTATTTGCGCTTCGTTTCGAAACAGGATCTCCTCTAGGAGGATCGAGAATGTGTTTCTCGATCCCCTTTCTCCACGATTTCGATATTTAACATTTTGATTTTTCATCTTTCCAAGAAGCTGGAAGCTGCGCGGAGGTGATTTACGGATAAGAATGCGCAAAGAACGTTCTTGCGTGATCTTTAACCTTGAGAAACTCTTTTTGAATAGGAAGAGAGAGAACAGTGTCACGATCTTTTTTGATAAGTTAAACCCTTCTCCTTCGATGATTTTCATATTTATAATATAAAAGGCTTAACCAATTTTTAATCGTTTAATCGCTTTAATCACTTGATGTATTTCTCGAAACACAATTTTTTTTTTATTGTTAAATAAAAAAGATTCTTTCCACTATGATAACTTTCAGACAGCCTTGGTACAACACTTTCCTCGATTAATTTTGAAAAGACTTCACGTATAGGAAAATATTATGAAAATTTAAAACCGTCACATCAAACAGTCACAAAAGACACTATTAATAATCACGTGGCAGTCGGCAATTCGTTATTAATATCTCGTTCGAAAGCCTGAAACCTACGGCAGACAGAATTGCTACTATTATTCATACCATATCAAATAGATCCGCACAATCTAAATCTGTTCATTCCTCTCCATACTCAACCGTTCGCATTCGATCCAGCGGTTTAAAATTAGCACAAATTAACCAACAAAAAAAAACATTTATTATTAATCCATCCCAGTTATGCGATTGTTATACGCAGTTGAAGATCATTTCCATTCATGGAGACATAACCAATTCGAAAATACGTTGCTTCACATCGTATTCGTAGCACGATAAATTTTTTAAAATTTTCATTTCCATTCTTCGAATATTCCGCTTCAAAAACTGTTTCTGTTAATCTATGGAACATCGTTCGCGTTCCACGATTTCGATATTGTCAAGGGGCGGGGCAGAAAGGGTATTTGCTGTTAAAGTCGGCGCGCAAAATGACGTATGGGACGATGGATGCATAAAAGACAAACATAAAGGACGTGGCGAAAGAGAAATCCTACCTGGTGTGGCTGTAGGGTGTCAGGGATGGGCCGTGGTGCTATTAGCCAGCCGTGCTTACGGGGCGCATAAGCGCAACCTCCACCTCCGAGCTACTCCGGCTTTGTCTCTGCATCCTGAAAAAGCGAGAAATAAGCGAAATGAGTTTTATGCCGTGGAGCGTCGCGACAAAGTGCAAGCGTCGCCGAGACGACGAGTCGTTCAGCAATGCCTCCAGGATATCGCGAAATTTATAGTATTATTATTCTGACCGGCGTTGCTCGGCTTATGGAGACACGTTATTATTCGATTCTCTGTTCGCAGATTATCGAGATTTCTTTTAAAGAAGGAAAAGGAGAGAATTAATTAAGTTATTTAGAACACGGAAATATCGTGCCAATTGTGACGATAAATAAGTGAAGAGAACGAGGCTGGATCGGTTACAGATACACGTCAATCAAATTTATTCTGTTCAATATTAATTCTTAATCGACGATGACGAACGAATTTATTTCATCCTTACGTCGAAGTTGAAACTTATTAAAGAATTTTTGAATTTCAATTTCTCGATAATGCAACAAAATTCAGATAGAAATTTATTTCGAAATTAAATTTTAAGTTTATCTTACGGATCGATTCCAACAACGTTTCCAGCCACTATTTAATACAATTTCTCCAACGTCTTTCGAATTGACGTTTAACAAACACCGGGCCTCGGTAATGAGAGCCTCGAACTCCGCGCCGGATAAACATGTAGATCAGCGTAGATCCATCCTCCTCGCGCTTCGAGGAGGGAGGACGCTCTTCGAACTCGAATAACATAGACGCAACCAGCAAGGATGTTCATCCAGCCTCTCTTGTGTGAAATCACGGCGGATACACACACCTTTTGTCCATTCCAAGTTCGACGCGCACGCTTGTGTGGATGCGGCCCGATCTCCGCGGATCGATCGTTCGTTCAAATTCGAAAAGCGGCGGCTGCGAAACGCGCGCCAAAGTTATTAATATTCCTTGCTGGTTCGACGATTTCCTATCGCGCGTAGATACTCGAGGCCCGCGCTTTGAAATTCAGACCGGTCGAGCGTACCTTTTTTTTTTTTTTTTTTCTCTCTCTCTCTCTCTCTCTCGTTGTTACAATGTCGCTTTTTAGATACATGTTGGAAGTTTGATATTGAAAAAAAGAAAAAAAAAGGAAACATATGAATGCGGTTGGATTGATGGACGAGAGTTGCACGAGAGTCCGACGGTTGGTCCGACGCATTGATATTCGATCCAGGGATGCGCGATTGAACGATATATAGCGCGTTTCACCCTTGGTCACGAGGAGGAGGAGGAGGAGGCATGATCGGCGGGGAAAAATGGCCGCCAATTAGTGGCCACTGTCATTCGTTTTGATACCTGTTATGCGTGATACGAGGGGATGGAATTTTTTTTTTTTTCCAGAAATTTCGTTCCATCGAATATTCTCGATGTTGTATTCGAGATGGCGCGAGAATTTTATCGAACGAATATTTAGCCTTTGTTTCGTCGAATTAGAAACGTATCGAAATTCTTGCTTTGTACAATGACAATACACGTTTTAAAAGTTTTCATACGCAAATTCGTCGAGGAAATTCGTCCAATAATCCTCATCTGTCCTCTACATTTCAAAGAAATTTGAATTATCGTAAAAATCTTGGCCCAATCCATGAGAAATCGCGAACCCTGTTTCCCTCACGAGATAGATAAAATAAGATTTTATATAGAAATTCCAAAACACCAAGAATCGATCTAATGGATGAAACTTATCATCGATGATTAATTACACGGCAGAGCGAGCAGATGTACACGCGTTCTTTTCGTCCGCATTATCAGACCGGCACAACACCCCGCTCGTAATACGCAATAATTCATGGCCGTTTCACTCGCGTTGGGTTGGGTGCAACCCAAACTGTATATTCGTACACCCGTTAATTGTTTTCCAAATTAATTCATATCCTCGAACAACGTGGAAAACGTTGGATCGAAGCGTGGACGGCGCACAACAGTCAGGCTCGGTCGGTTAATAACGTGGATGCAAATTAGCCGGCCTGTTAAATATTTTCATTAGCGGGGGTCTCGTCGGATTTCACAATCGATTGGGACGACAGCCGCGATTAATTAACGACAACGGTTAACGGCTCTCGAAAACAACGAGATTTTGATCGTTCTTCGTCGATGTGTGTGTGTGTGTAGAGGAGGGAGGGGAGAGGAGAAGAGGAGTGCGAGGGGGAAGTCGGTTACAAGGAAAAGTTTATATTGGATTTCATATTTAATGCAACGCGCAACGTGAGAAGAGGGAGGCTGTTGCTTCCTAGGGGATAAATTATTTATGCCGGGACGCTTTGTCTTTGTCCGTTGGGAGGGGGGAGGGGGAGGGTCTGACCCGCATCAACCGAGAATCAAGGGAATAAGGGGGTGAGAAAATGGGGGATGATAGTCGAGTGGCCGCGATAAGCTCGGGATCTAAACGAAAATCGTTGATTCTTCGGGGGATGGTTGGGGATGGGTTTCCACTCGATAAACGCGTAAAAGTTATATCAAACGGTTGTATATTCCTTCTGGCAAGTGATTTCCAATTATTCTTATGTATTAACGTTCTTTTTATCAGTGGACATAATTTTTCGTTTCGCTAATTTTAGATCAAATAATTAATTATTATTTACAGAGAAATTCTCTGCTCTGTGTTCTGAAATCTAATTGAAAGAAGAAAAAAAAATTTCGAATTTTCCGCTCGATGCATAATAAACATCGATCGAAATTTTGTCTCCAAATTCGAAATGAGAGAATACATATCTACATAACGTATCTACGTATATATATATTTTTATAAGAGATATTGCAATATAAACGAGGCAAATAAAGCATCGCTTTGCAAAATTACCTTGAAAACGAAGCGATAACGCTTTGACCGAGTCAACAAGCGTCTGACGTAATAAGCCAGCCGAGCGTTCTGACGCAGATGCCCGATGAATATGCTCGAAGATTCGATGACGTATCGTTCCATGCGCGGAAATTTCCAAGATGTTGTAAACTCTTCTACAGATTCCGTGTGTTTGAAACACACAGCACCCAACCATCGGCGATATTTATAACAACGGATTGAATTTTGAATGGAAATGGTAGAAAAAAAAAAAAAAAGAAAAAAAATCGCGAGCACGATTCTCTTAAAAATTATGCGGAAAGAGAATGTTTGAAATGAAACGTTCGTGTTTTACAAGAGAGAACTTAATCCTTTTACGGATATCGATGAAAAAGAGAGGAAAAGGAAAAGAGCGGGAAAAAAGGACGAGGAAGTGTAAAGAGATCGAGCAAATGAACGTGACGTTAAATGAATTTTTACGGCTTCATAGTGACTCGAAGGTCGGCACGATGATCGATCTCTTCTTGGGATAGTAATAAAGAGTTGATATTCCTCGAAAACGACGTCAATTATCCTGAAGTGTCGTCGTTAATGGTCTGCAAGTGCTACCCTTCTTCGTGTAATGGAAGGCTCGAAAGTCGAATTCCAGATATTCTGCTAATTGATACTGTGTTTCTTTTTTTCTTTTTTCGGTTAATTAACGGGAAATTTTCTTCTGATTTTTTTTCTTTTCCATACAGAATTAAATTTTTATCTTGTAGTTGAAAACTTTACGAAGAAGACTTTGATGGAATAACGAAGAGAGAAAAATTTAGGGGAAAAAAAAAAAATATCGACGAAGAAAATATTTTTGTATCACGATTATTAAGGATATTATTATAAGAAATAACGATATACGATATAATTAATTTAAATCCAGAGGAAATATTGTTCGGCATTATATTTCACGATCTCTTATTCTTATTATTTTATATACGATCCGTATTCATCACATAAATAAGACGATATTTGTATCGCTGCTGCTTGATGAAAGATGTTGCTTCCACTGAATTGAATAAATTTGAAATGTAGACGAAGAATTAGCATTCATCGGTTATATTAACATTTCTGAAAATTTCTGAAAATTTATGGAATCTAGATTAGTCGAACGAATTAATTTCGAACGAATTAATTTCGAACGAATTAATTTCGCAGTTTGGCCGACGAGATTTCTTACATTCCTATCGTTCCTCTATCTTTGATGACGTTAACACTTTGGCCGCACGATTATGTGAACTGATACATCTGCCTTGGGGATTTTTCTTTCTTTCGAGACGACGTGACGGACAATGGAAACGATTCTCACACTTATACGATGAATGGAGTCGTTGATAATGAATTATAATTCATTGATAATCGTCTGATGCGAGCAGTATATAATTAAAACTGTCCTTTTTTCCCCCACTACTTCTCCGATTTTCTCTTTTTCCACTCACGTATCTTTTTATATAAATTTTTTAAATCACAAGTCGATACTAATTCTAAATGAATAGAGAATCTCGTAGTAAGATACGAATTTATGCTTGATTACTCCTCGACTTCTGGAGTTTAATCCGTTCTTCTTCATTTTACAATTTTATTATTTATTTTTCTAATATTTTAATACGATAAAAAATATAAGAAAAATCTTTTGGCTAGATTCTACCAAATTGCACTTTATTTTATCCATTTATTTATCAAATATGTAACTTATACGTTATCTATAGTGTTATCTTGTTATTATCGCGATGTTACCAAACAGTCTATTCACCCTATTTTATAATTTTTATATTATTCAGTTATCAAATGAATCATCAAACTCGATGAGTTACAATTTTTTCCTTCCCTTATGTACAAGACAAAAGTTTGATTAGACAAAAAAGTTATCGTGATCGAAGTTCTTATACCTATTTTCAAAGTCATTCGCGATAAAGTTATATAAGAATTTTCACCGGCCCAACGAAATGAATTTTCCAAGCGAACACCCATTTTTAAGTTATCAGGAGGCTAGAATGTTATAACTTCCAAATATCCTCTCCAAACTAATTTAACATCTGGCTCAACTTTCATTCAAAGATTGAAAAAAAAACGTTAATAATCACACTCTTCATGATAAAATATCCTATACGTTTAAATTCTCATTATCCAATTTATCAAGAAGGAAAATCCAATTGCAAGATTCATTATTAAATTAACATCTCCTATTCTTTTTATAATTCCATAATACAAAGAAGAAAC